TACATTCAAACTTAAGTTTTTATAAGCCTTGCAGTTACCATATAGCAAAAGCCTACAGTAGATATACAGAGCAGTAATTACTTTAAATGAACTAAATTTGAGAGATGAAGTCAGATGTAAGGACACACGAGACTAAACGCAAGGGATGAAAAAAGATATTTCATACAAATGGAAACCCAAAGAAAGCAAGGGAAGCTATAACTTATATAAGACAGACATTAAAACAATCCAAATTGGAAAGGAAGAAGTAAAACTGTTGCTATTTGCAGATGACATGGCTATATATAGAAAATCCTAAACACTCCATCAAAATGTAAGAACTAATAAATGAATTCAGCAAAGTTTTAGGATACAAAAGGACTGTATAAAATGCTATTGCATTTCTATATACTACAATGTACTACCAGAGAAATTAATAACAAATTTAATCAAGAAAGTGAAAGCCCTATACACTGAAAATTGCAGGACACTGATGAAAGAAACTGAAGACCAAACAAATAAATGAAGAAGTATTCCCTGCTCAAGGATTATAAGAGTTAATATTGTTAAATGTTCATACTGTCCATAGCCATCTATAACTTTAGGGCAATTCCTTTCAAAATTCCAATGGCATATTTTAATAGAAACAATCCCACAATTTGTATGGAACCATAAAAGTCCCCAAATTGCCAGAGCAATACTAAAGAATAAATCTGGAGCTATCACACTCCCTGCTTTCAAACTATATTACAGGCCTCTCATAACTAAACAGTATGGTATTGGCATAAAACCAGATGACATGAATCAGTGGAACAAGATAGCCCACAAATAAACCCATGCATGTATGGGCACTTACAACAAAGGAGCCAAGGATATACAATGGTGAAAGGACAGTCTCCTCAATAAACTGATGTTGGGAAAATTGGACTGGCACAGCGAAAGAATGAAGCTGGACTATTATATCATTTGTAAAAATTATTCAAAATGGACTGAAACTTGAATGTGAGATCTGAAACCATGAAACTCCCAGGAGAAAACATAGGTGCTAACAAAGTAAAAGTGGGACTGCATCAAGTTAAAAAGCCCAGAAAAGGAAACCAACGAAATGAAAAGGAAGCTACAGAATGGGAGAAAATATTTGCAAATCCTGTATCTAATAAGGGGGTAATAGGCAAAATACATTAGAAACGTATACAACTGAATAGTCAAAAACTATAAACCAATCAAAAAATAGGCAACGGATATGAATAGATGTTTTCCCAAAGATGGCCAACAGGTACATGAGATGCTCAATATTACTAATCATCAGGAAAGCCAAAACACAAACCACACTGAGATACCACTTCACACCTATCAGAATGACTATATCATCAAAAAGACAATAAATAACAACTGTTGGTGAAAATCTGGAGAAAAGGGAACCCTTGTGCACTGCTGGAAGAAATGTAAATTGGTGCAACTACTATGGAAAATACTTTGGCCACCTGATGCAAAGAGCTGACTCATTGGAAAAGACCCTGATGCTAGGAAACATTGAAGGTAGGAGGAGAAGGGGCCGAGAGAGGACTAGATGGTTGGATGGCATCATGGACTCAATGGACATGAGTTTGAGCAAACTCTGGGAGATGGTGAAGGACAGGGAGGCCTGGTGTGCCGCTGTCCGTGGGGTCCCTAGAGTTGGACAGGACTGAGCGACTGAACAGCAGCTATGGAATAAAGTATGGAGGTTCCTCAAAAAATCAAAAATAGAACTACTACTGTACTCCTATAATTTCACTTCTGGGTATCTTATCTGAAGAAAACAAAAATGTTAAAAATACATGTGCACCCCCATGTTCATTCAGCATTATTTATAACAGCCAAGACATGAAAGCAACATAAGTGTCCATTCATGGATGAAAGGATAAAGCTGTGGTGCACATACACACAATGGAAAATTATTCAGCCATTTTAAAAAAACAAAACAGAAATCTTGTCATTTGTGATAACAAGGATTGACCTCAAGGGCATTCATTATGCTAAGTGAAATAAGTCAGACAAAGACAAATATTGTACACTTTCACTTACATGTGGAATCCTTAAAATACAAACAGAAACAAAGCTCATAGATACAGAAAACAGACTAATGGTCACCAGAGGTGGGGGAGTGGGAAGTGGGTGAGGGAGTCAAAAGGTACAAATTTCCAGTTGTAAAACGTCTTCGGAGGCTTCCCTGGTGGTAAAGAGTCCACCTGCCAGTGCGGGAGACGTGGGTTCGATTCCTCATCCAGAAAGATCTCATTTGCTGCCGAGCACCAGGACTGTTGAGCCTGTTCCACAGAGCCCGCGTTCCACAACCAAAGATTAGCCCCCACCTGCCACAGCCTGAGAAAAGCCCACTCAGCACAAAAAACAAGAATTTTTAAATGTCACGGGGACTATACTTAATAATGCTGTAGTACACATTTGAAGGTTGCTAGGAGAGTAGATCTTCGTCACAGGGAAAAAAAATGTTTCCATTTCTCTATCTCTGGCATTGAAATTTTTAGAAGCCAATTTTCCTTTAAACAAGAAATTTAATGCTTGCAAAAGATGCTGCTGTGATTGACTTACTTGGATCACTTCTTGGATTAGAACGGCCAAGAACCATTAAAATGAGGCGTATCTACCCAAGCTAAATTATCCAACAGTGAACCCTCTGCACTACCTGAAGAGCAAATATGGATGAGGGGTAAACAGGTGAATTTGGAGCTAGTATACAAAAAATCTTGATGAGGTAGAAATGTCAAGAAAGTGAAGTCGCTCAGTGATGTCCGACTCTGTGACCCCATGGACTGTAGCCTCCCGTGCTCCTCCGTCCATGGGATTTTCCAGGCAAGAGTACTGGAGTGGGTTGCCATTTCCTTCTGCAGGAGATCTTCCCAACCCAGGGATCGAACCCAGATCTCCCGCATTGCAGGCAGACACTTTACACTCTGAGCCATCAGGGAAGCCCAACAAGAAATGTCAAAATAATGTATAAAACTAAAGGTATCTATTCCTCATATTCTATGGTATAATGTAGAATTTCAGTTGGATAAGTCTACTGTTTTAAATTTATATTGCACTTAATAAACTACCAAGCACAGTCACATAAACAAAAAGCTTTTTGTGAAATCAACAGACTGGGTCACAAACCAGAGCATCTGGGCTCTTCTTCAGGGATTTTGGCAGAATAAGCTAATGCAATTATGATTTGGTCTCTGTCTCCCCATGTGAGACCCATGTCTTAAATTTCTGTTTAATATTTCAGCAATCACCTACCACTGAAGGAATACTGTTCTTTGTTTTATTTTATTTGATGAAACAAGAGACCCAAACACATTCTCTGAAAATTACGTTTAAGACAGCTTGCCAGTGAGGCCACCCCAGGTTATACGGCCAGATGTCTGCCGTGGGCTCCACTTTCTGACAGCTTGGGGAAAAGAAACCAGAAGTTCCCCACCTATCACAACTGAGATGGCAGGTCTGACCTGGGTAGATTAGAGGTAATAAACTGCCACACCTAACGCCCTACCCTAATGCCTTCAATAAAACAGCATCTGTTTTAAATATTAGAGGAAGGAATGAAAGAACATACAATCGGGTCCCAAGAACATAGTGGGGAAATAACCTCTTCCCTTGGATAGTGAAAGCACTCTCCTGTTTCTTTAGATTATAGGAATTAAGACAAGAAAACATAATCACCCTTCCCTTCACTCTCCAGTCCCTACCCAAGATGTAAAGGTAATGATGATATAAAGGGCAAGAGGCTTGCTCAAGATATGAAAAGACAGCCAAAAAGAAGAGAGATTCAAGGATTTTAAGACTGGGGGGACATCAGACCCTTTTCCGTTTTATTCCTGCGTATTTCTCTAAAAGCCTTGATAGGAAAAGAACGAAACTTTCCTTTTCATCTTTTTACTTTCAGTGTGTAAGTCCATGTTTTCTAAACTTAAAACCCATTTGGCTCTCTGCATTTTGTATAAGTTTAGTAATCTCTGGTGTATGCAGGCCAGGGGCATGTAGAGCATTCTACCCAGTCTTATTTATATATAGATACATATATATCTCATTAAGGTAGTTTTATACGTTCATCAATCTCGGAGACTGAAAATTGAGTTTTCCAACCAAAAGAATTTTGTTGGGTGAGGAAAAACAAACTCGAAACTATGAAGAGTGCTGTAAGTACCACCTTAAATAGAGTCTAAAGTGAAGTCGCTCAGTCGTGTCTGATTCTTTGCAACCCTAATGGACTGTAGCCTACCAGGATCCTCTGTCCATGGGATTCTCCAGGCTAGGGTGCTGGAGTGGGTTGCCATTTCCTTCTCCAGGGGATATTCCCGCCCCAGGGACCGAACCTGGGTCTCCTGTATTGCAAGCAGACGCTTTACCATCTGAGCCAGCAGGGAAACCCTAAATAGTCTAGGTACATAGAGACTGTCAGCATGCAGCATAGTTGCATTAAAAATTAGGACATCCCCTCCCCAGATACTACCTTCAGAGTGGGTTTTTACAGACACATTGGCACACAGCAGAGGTTTTTGTTCCCGAGCAGCCTTCTGATGCCAAAGATCCTCTTCCCATTTCCTAGAGGTGACCTCTTAAACATGCAGCCATATATAGTACCATGTTTACAGATGCTTCCACAAGATAAAGTACCACAGCACAAAAGCATATTGTCCTAAATGCACCATATAGATCTCAATGCCTCTGTTTACGTGTAAGTGGTGAAAATCAATCAGAGTGATATCTAGACAAAGCTACACTTTGATGTATGGAGAATCTGCACCACTACATGTTTATAGTATGATGGAGCCTATGGTGCTAGATAAGAGAAATGCATTTTGCAGGTAGACCTAAATCTTCAGACTGTTGTGATTTTTAACTGACCTGTCTCTTTTCATCATAGAATAGCTTCATGACCATAAATACAGGGAACTGCTGACAGTATAACTCATCCCTTAAAAATAGTTTGTTCTTAGCAGCTACGACAGTCTTTTTTTTAAAGAGGCTTTACTTACCCCAGACAAGGACAATGTATCTCAGCGGAATGAAGTACAGGATGGCTGTGAACGCACAGAGGGCCACGATGGCCAGCCAGCTTAAGAATGGGACGGTCCAGTTGAAAGTACTGAATGAGAAATCAACACATCAGCAATCTGAGCACTTTGCACTTTTCTCAAAGATGAAAACGAATGTGATTCAAACTCTGGACTATGGATCTAGTAGAGACTTATTTCTTTTGGGAAGAGATGCCAATGGTCGTGGGCTTTCCTGAATACAGGACCCAGGTAAGGGGTGTTGACACTAACCCCTCCACGCTGGCTGAGATGACTTCAGGCTGTAGAGTCATTGTACTACTTGGGTGACTCCCTATGGTTTAAAAATCTTCTAAAACTAGTACTCCATCTCGTTTTCTCCGATTCCTCATAGAGGAGAATGCCCCTGGGCCTACCGTTCTTTCTTCTGTGAACTCTCGCATAGGATTACCCACACTGGAAGTAAAATATTGCCAGCAATTGTCTGTAGACCTAAATCTTAACACTGTTGTGGAAATCCTCAGAACTTTAGAAATCCTTGGAAAAATACTTTCCACTTCAGCTATAGTTTAGATGGAATGAGAAATCAGCAAGGAGAAATCTTGTAAAAACTTTACCATCATTGCCCTCCTCCCAGAAATACATCAATAATTAGGAAATAAAGTCAACATTATCTGCTATTCTCCATGTTTCCGGCAAAGGAGAACATGGCAAATAGTAAATTTGAAGACTACAAAGGAAGTTTAAGCGGAAAAGGGTGGGTTTTTGATAATGGAGAGGGTTGGAAGCAAGACTTGAGTATTGACAGTGATAAAACATCAGAACAAAGAACAAAAGTGGGATCAACGAACAAAAGAAGTTGCAAAACAGTACCAAGAAGATGGGAAGGACTTCAGTGGGACAAAAAGAAAGGAAAACATGACAGAAGGCAAACGGAACACGTAAAGACAGATATGTTCAGGCTTTCTGTGTAGAACATCCGTAGTAAGTCTGATAGTTTTTAAGAGAGGGTGACAAAATTATAAACAGACTCACTGCGTGGAGCCCTCGAGGTTAGGTATGTGAACTGTGTCTCCATTTACAGGCATACTACTGCCTCAGTGCTCGGCCTCCAAGGAGGAGCTAACGTATCTCTGAGTGACTCTTTAGCATAATTTAATGAAAACAACCAAAATAAGTAGCAAATCTGTGTTCAAGGCCTAGACTCTGTTATGTGACTTTAGGTGGTCGACCTCTCTGAGCATCAGCTTTCCTGGTATAAAATGCGGACAGCTTATACTGTATCCAGGAAGACTGGTGGTGATGGCAGCATGTTTACGGGAATCAAGGTGATGTTATTTAGAGGCATTAAGCTCTGAAAGTACTGTGCGGCACTTCCTAGCAGTGAGAAGGGCCCCAAAGACACTTAGAGAAAATATTGAAATTGTACATGATACGGATAACAGTCAGTGTTTAGTTCTTCTAATTTCCTGGTAATGGATGCTCTATGCACTTGGACTGGGTTTTTCCAGAGAAGCCTGTAATCCAATAAAGGATGTTTGTCAAGAGATTTTCTCATATACTACCCCTCAGCCTAATACTTAGAAGAGTTATTCCTTAACTTTGTGGCATATGACTTGCTTTTTGTCTTTCTCTAGGTCAAGTCTCCTAAATTTTTTTTCCCCCAATAAAAAAGCCCAAGTTGGGTCCAGCCGGGTTGTCTTGTTTTTAGTAACTCTTGGGGTCTGGCTTTTCTGTTGTGTTTTTTATGTCCTGTGGCCAGAGTGAGCGTAAAGGAGCATGCCTTCCCTCCTCACTGACACCTGTAGTTCCCTTGCTTCTGCCCGCTGTGGAGAGAACAGAAGGCTGAGGGTCTGTTGCTCTCCCGCAGTTGAGCTCAGAGCCATCCGTCAACCACTGGGTGTGCGAGGGCGCTGGCTCCTCACGCAGAAAACTCTCCTCCTGGGCAGCCTCACTGAAGTGCTCCTATGTTCTTATTCGTCTTGGAAGAATAAATGGCAAAGAATACCAGTGTAGCTAATGTCAGGGGGGAAAAAGACTGCTCTTTTTATTTCCACAGTGCATCATGGAATCTAAATCGAGAATGTGATCTTATACCATCTCCCCCCAAGAGATGCTATTCAAGAAAGTTCTGGAAGGATTATAACAAGATTTAATTATGGAGATTTCCAATTTGTATTCCAATTTGTACTTAAAGATTGCATCTAAATCTGCTTTCTAGATAGATCCATGTTATCCCATGCGACTCCAGGGGCGTTTCTCTGTTTTTAGTAGTCCAAAGACGGCCATGCAGAAGAGAGTCCCTGCCAGACTCACTAGACTCTGGGCCATGCTCCTATACCCCAGCCTGGACTTGGCGTCTCTGTCTGTCCCTTAGGAAGTTCGACCAAGTCCAGTTTCCCCAAGCCTGGTCCACAGCCACGACCTGGCTATTTCCTTCAACTGGCCATGGTCTTTTCCAGCACCTGTCTGAGGTCTGCTAACACCCAGAGTTACAAAGAAGCCTCGCCGCTTCAGGCAGTCACAGTCCTGACCTCAGAGCTGACCCAGGGTCTTCTGCTATAAATGAGATATTCCTGTCGGGTAGCCTACACACTACCTCAGGGAAAGGACAACACCCAGGAGGGAAATGCCCCACGTCGGACTTCACCCTCTGCTTCTGAGATAGATTGTGGAGAACAAGGAGACACTCTTAGAGACAAAAAGAACACGAAGAAGAAGAAAGATGTGGAAATCAATCTTGAGAAGTCTGACACTGAATGTTGCTTAAAAGTCCCATTTGGGAGTCAGAGGGAGGCTCTTATGTCTAATGTGAGAAAGTGGAAACTCAGCACCTATGCATATGTGGAAATGTATTAAAAATTATACAAAGTAAAATGCATTATGCCTTGAAACATGAAAGGCACCAGATGAATGACCCGTACCTTTAGTTTAAATAATTTACTCCTTTCAATTTCTGTGTATGCCTAAGCATCCAAATCTGCTCAGTCTTTCAGTTATGAATAATAAACAATGAATAGAGATATGAAACTAGAAACAGGCCTATCCAGGTATAAAGCACCCCTTCTTGAACAGACCATTTAGAAATCATTATGCAGGGTGATTTTCATGTAGTTAGTGGCATGGGCCCTTAGTATACTTTTTACTGATTATTAATTATAAATCCACCTTACCATTTTTATAATTAAGCAGTTGTTTTAAAATATATATTAGTAAATAAGACAACACAAAGTAAAACACAAATTATGTTTCTTAATTTTACTTTTGTTCTCCATGAAGCTCTATTTCCTAACTTTTAAATTATAAAAATTGTTTATTTTCTAGATGACAGAGTATTAGTTTACTTCATCTATAATTATGATCTCAGCTAGTTAAACAGAATTGAAGGAATATTTTCCAGGGTGCTATTTATAATATTTTTTTAATTTAACTTTATTGATGAAACTGTAACTTGACCAATAATAAAATGCAGGTGTGTCTTGATTACCTGAAATCCTCATTTAACTTTTTTTTTTTCTATTGCAATTTCATATTCTAAGAACAAAGTCTCGCTGTGAAAATGTGCTAAAATTTAGGACGGTGTTATTTTTTTTCAAAGCTAAAGTATGACTTCTTTCCAACCAATATGTTCTAAATTTCAAGGAGGAAATTGACAGAACTTTCATAAAACCAAAGACTGGCAGAAACAAAGTAAATAATGATGAAACTGAGCAATAGATCACCCAGACGGAGTGTCCCCTGCCAGAAAGAATGTGGCATTTCACCCTCTGACAAATAAATGGACACTGTCCCCCAGAAAGCCAGGGCTCACATGTCAGCATCACTCACTTTTTTATCCTTTCGCCAAAGGAAGCCACTTCATCTAGGATGTTCTGGACACTGATACATACCTCCTGGATGGCATAAATTTTATTTATAAATCCCTTTTTTTCACTGTCCTAAAACACAATAAAAAGAGAGATTCTACGTAAGTAAAGGTATCTATATCCTTCCGGGCTTGAATTCTTTTCATTGTCAGCACTGTTATAGTTTTAAACTTGGATGGACTTCATTTTTCCACGGATGTAAGTGTCTGCATGCAGCCCCTGAAAACTTTAGGTATGAAGGGAGGTTAGCGGGAAGAGTACTCGGCATTGGAGGCCTGCGGCAGTGTAAAGGTGGCTGCGGAACACGAGACTCAGGGTCTGTGGCTCTTGCCCTGAGGAGCAGAAGCATTTCAGCAGGCGGACGGGAAGCGTAAAGTGTGAGGAAGATCAGGTCTCAGAATGACCAAACGTGGAGTCTGCTGGCCCTGGGCCCACCATGACACGATGCTGAGCAGACCCAGTTTTCTGGCCCACCACCCACAGACCTAAGTTTGGTCTTGGCTCCAGATTATTTTAATAGCAGGGAATGCAGGGTGCAAATAAGAAGACCTGTGAGCGATGAAAACTAAAAAAAGAAAATTTTATTTAAAAAATAGAATCAACTGACATTCAGTAAGTGTACACTTCTAGATACCACCTTAGGGGCACCAAAATACATAGCCTGGTCCCTGTCTTAAGAATAAGAGCCACATACTTCATGCTCTATTAGTCAGGGTTCTAACTAAATATTTCCCCCCTATTTGTATTTAATTCTTCTTTTAAAACTTGTGCTGGCCCTAAGCAAAGCTGGTGTGTGCTCCAGCGAATGGGTGCGGATTGAGCACCCAAAGAGTGGTGTGAACCTGAGGGGTGATATGCACGTTTTGTAATTTTAGACCCAGAGGAAGAAATAATGGTGGCCTTTCACGATAGAAAATTCTGCTTAGTAGCCTGGCACCAAAGGCACTTGCCTAGGCTGCTTGGTGGAGACCATCCAACCCATGACTCCATCTCTCCATGCCAGCTTGAATCTCTGTGGAAATGTAGATCCAATTTCATTACTTTTAACTTCTTCTGAACACTTGCACGCTGTGCCAGAACACTTGAGACCTCATGTGGCAGTCAGTGCTTGCTGGAAGCAGCCAGGAAACCAGAATAATAATGTCGTCATGTTGCACATTTACATACTGACTTTCATTTTAGCAGAGTCTAAAGCACTTTGCACTGTGAACACTTGGCTGGGGCTGGCATCCTGCCACCTTGGAAAGCGAGGGCAAGTGAGTGACAGGTGTGTGGGCAGCCTCCAAGGACAACAGGGTACAGTGGGACTGGGGATGTGGATGCCAGTTTTATAACATGATCTTTAGATACCAGATACTTAGAGCCTTCACTTTAAATTTAATTCCCATGGGAGATATTGCCTACATGATTCATCTCACTTATGCCAAACGGACTGTCAGGCAATGAGGTAGATGAAATGCATGAGGCTCAAAGTTTAGAGAAAAATAACACACACTCGGTGTCTTCAAAAGTTGCCCTTCACTTGTCATTATAAACACAGGTGCATCAATTTCTGGTCTTTTTTCCTCTTCCCAGGAATAAAACAAAATGCATTCATTTCACCTATGCAGTTGTACATTTTAGAATAAAATGGACAGCCAGTGGCTCCTCCTTGTTCCTTTCCAAATTACAAAATCATCTGCTCTAATAATCTCCATGTAAGGCTTTCAGTGTTCTCCCTCAGGCACCAGCTAAGTTCATTTACATCTATGAAGTAAAGTGTTCTCACAAAATATTTTTCTACATGTTGAATAAATCAAGTTAAAGATGAAGCATGCTGGTTATACAATGAAAGTTCATTGAGAATAAACTCAAAAAATAAGCAGCCTGAAATTATGAGGTGAAGAATATTTCTTTCACAATAGCAATAAAACGTATAAGACACTTAGCCATACCTTAACAAGAAAGGCACAGAATCTATATTAAGAAATTAGAGATAATGTTTTTCTGCAATGGAATACTGAACATTACAAGAATGTATTCTTTTAGTTGAACATAAAGGTTTAATTTTGCAATTTCAAGCAAATCCTAATGTTTGGTATAAAGTAAAATGGGGAGAATTTGATGAAGTATTTTTAAAATTTGGAAGAGTACCTATAGCTAAGCAATGTTTGCAGAAGAGAAATAATGAGAAAGCATTTATTGTACCAGATATTTAAGTAATTAAAATATGAAAGATGAGCATTAAAAGAGGAATTGTTGTATGATAAAGCACCATCATAAATCTATCATAAAGAAGGAAATATTATGTTACTGGGTAATTGCTTTAACTATTTGGGGAAAATTATATTAAATCATGCCTTAATAGATTCTCAAACCTATTTGAGGTAGCTCAAATCTACCTCAGCATCTTTCTCAAACTGAAGTACCCCAAATATACATTAATTTAAAAGCAAATAACTAAAAAAGAATTATAAAAGCAGAAGAAAAGATAGGTAAGTTATTTACTGACCTTGGAATAAAAAAGAACTTTCTAGACATACAAACAGTAAAGAAAATCACAAAGAAAAATAATTAGTAGCAAAAGTTACATAAAATTAAAAACACATCAAAAGTTATAAATTTAAAAAACTAAGTGGGAAAAAAATTTCAACAAATATGACAAATGAAGGGATGGGATTTCCAGTATATTCAACAAACATCCAAAACAATTTTCACGGCAGTTTTTTTTTATAGTAACGAAAAAATCATGAACATGCGGGGTATAATTAATTATGTTAATACAAATGATGGATTATTAGGAAATCACAAAATACTGCTTAAAAGAGTGAAAATACTTATGATCTACTAGAAATTTAAAAGAATGGGAAGCAAATATGATATACAGCATAATCCTAACATTTTTGAAATGGGTAGGATGGAAAAATGAAGGGAATATGTCAAAATATTAAAGGTAAAATGGATGTTTACCTTCCTCATGCCTTCCTATAATATTCAAATTCTTTGCAATAAATATATTTTACTTTTATAACCAGAATAGTTCCCTGATTTTCTACAACATCACTATAAAAGTAATAGGGATAGAAGACATAAATGAATCAGCACTCACTGGACATGATTTTATATGTGGTTTATCTGGTGTTTCCTTAATTTATTTTTTGTCTTTAAATTATTTTTAGAAAGAAGTAGAATGTAAACATTCACTCATTAAGCACCATAAAGTGCTCTTCACATAGCTCATTCAATCCTTACAACCATCCTACAATGTAGATATTTCCCCCCACTTTACAGAAGAGAAAACAGGCTCAGGGAAAATGACAGCACTTGGAATTAGGACTACAACTAGCAAACTCCAGAGTCTATTCTCTGCATGATTTACTGTGACCTTCTCATTCTACCCAGGAAGATTTCAGTTCCTACCCAGGATCCCTGTGAGGATAAACAAGAAAAAAAGACTTGCAAAGATTTAGAAATGTATTATTGTAAACACCATGATCAGCAAGAAAATGAAATCTAGAAACTTGATTCCAAAATGGAAATTGGAAGATTGTTAGAAACCACCAGATTTAACATTAATAATGCAGTGTGCAAATATAAAATATGAGCCCTTCATTAATAAGATGTGTCATTTAGGCCTCTACAAAGACTATTTTTAGTAGATACTTTAAATGTATCTTTGGCTAAAGAGTTTTTTAAAATCTGCTCATTTAAAATTTTCTTTCTTTCTTCTGCATACCCATCCTACCCCCAAGCCTGTCACCCCTGGCCACCAAAATTCAAAATAAAAAAGTCTGGAGTGTTGGCAAATTTTGAAAAGGGAATGCTTTAGGATAAAATTTTTAATTTTAAAATCTTTCATCAAATTCTATATTCCTCCACTGAGGTCTCCAACAAATGAAGTAATTACTCTTTATATATAGTATATGACCCCAAACTGCAATGGGTAATGGAATTGCTCTGTGTTGCTTTCCAATATTTCACACTTTTTTCATTAATGTTCAATACTTTATTAGTAGAGAATAAATTGGTACATTTCTTTTATTGTCATTTTTACTTTCCTTTATAAACCAGCCTGGATGGAAAAAAATATATATATCATAGGGTAGTTAGTCATCGAAAAGCTTGGAAATGACACTATTGTTTGTTTGTTTTTAATGTATTATTAAGGTTTCTTTTGAAGATGTAAAAAGAAACTTACCCGTAAAATAGAACTATAACTATAAATCTGAAAACATGTGAGATATATATTATACAAGTATTTTTCTAATAATTCCATATGACTTTTAAAATCTTATTTTCAATAGTCCACAAAATATCAATAACTGCACACCTGAAATATAGTGATTCTTTCATATTCACCTATTTTACTATCGTAAATAGTAAATACTTCTATCCCATTAGAAGATGAACTGGATTTTTCCAAAGAACTCTCTAGTTCCTAGCTGTGAGATATTTAGGAAATTCCCAAGACCTAAGGAATCAATATGTACTCCTTATAGATGGAGACAATCCTGTTCATTGACTTTCAAACCAAAATAGCACGTGCTACCATTCACAGATTCTGTTCCAAAAGAGAACAAGAGGCCAAGGTGATAGGTGTCAGGGGATGTGTGTTCTGTGGGGTTGGGTTGCTTGTGCCCCCAGCTGCATCCTGCCACAGTCACTCACACCAAAGAGGTCACTGTCAGTCCTGTTCATGTCAGAGAAAATGAATCTGTTGGACACCTGTGCTGTGTTCAACATAGCAGGCGTGTAGAATATGTTGCTCAAAATATTGATGTTATAAAATTCAACTTATTTTACTTTCTAGGGTGAGAGAGTGTCTTAAGAGTGTAAAGGGGGAGCACTATGAAGTCTCATATTAGGATGAGCACAAAACAGAACTGTCTTAGGAAACCAGAGCATATGTTCACCTTACTGATGATCTCCCGGAGGAGGCGTGCAGATCTGCACCCCAGAGAGGTCATCTGGACCATAATTTTGCTTTGCCTTTAAAGTCCTGCTAGGTAACCTCGCAAAAGGTGAGCAGTAAGACTTATATTTGCTATGAGACATAATCGTGATAGTTTACTGCTGACTACGCCTCTTCTGTG